TTAATGATTGTCGTTGTTGCACAAATAAGAAGTATGTGGATAATTTGATAAAATATTTGTTTATGATACTAAAATGTTGGGATCTTCTTATAATAGAAAGGACAAGTTTAGGCAAAAACAGCATGAAATCATGAGAGAGAGGCTAGAAAATTGTATACTTACAATTGGGAGATGATTGAGTCAATTAAGAAAGTAGTTTAGCTCAGCCGAGAACTACATGTTGCAGACCACTATTTTAAATCATGGTTCCACATGGGGTATGACACACATATACAGAGTATTAATGGTTAAATAGGTCGGGAGCTATAACTGTGTCCTTGAAATCTCGACGAAAATATGGATTTGTGGATGGCTCTATCACGAAGCTTTCGGAAGTAACTAAACTATCAGACTAGGATACAGTAAACTCAATGATCGTTTCTTGGTTACTGTGCAGCATGGATTCGACGGTCATTGCCTCAATACCATCCCGGCCACGACGAGGCTCAGCCTCTGTAGAAGTATCTTAAAAACGATTCAGCGAGGCAAATGGACCACGCTTGCAACATCTTCAGGCCTCCATTACTAACTGCGACAGTCCAAGTCTATGTTCGTCGATGCGTATTATACGAAACTGATGGCCTTATATGGTGAATTAAACCGGATGAAGCCTCTTCATGCTTGTATGTGTGGCTTGTGCACCTGCAACGTGGTAGGAAAAATCACCGAAGCCAGGGACGAAGACTAACTACTCAAGAAGAGCATTCACGTCCTATCGCCCGTAGGAAGAACATTGTTGTAGATACACACATTTTCGCTCTCCAAATGGGTCCCCCTAAGGGTCGTGCTGACAAAAATGACTACCACAAACTCTTATGCTCACACTGTAAATAGAAAAGACATGAAGTCGGTGAATGTTTCAAGCTTCATGGATATCCCGAGTGGTGGGAAGACCGTAATCACACCAAAGGGACAGTTGCTGGCCGTGGAGGGGGGGGGGGGGGGGGGCATACACACACACCGTTGCTCTAGCTTTTGCATCTTCTTATGCGAGCAATGCTGCCTCGGTCAGTGATAAAAATGGTCTGCGTGGTTTGAACAAAGAGCATGTTTAGGCTATTCTAAATATTCATAATCCAGAAATTTGGTCTAGTGAACGCATGACAGGTAAGAATATTTCTTTTGATCGGATACTTGATACCGGGGCATCTCATCATGTCACCAGTGAATTTTCTAGGCTCACCGAGGTAACTCATATTCGGGACTGCTCGATTGGGTTACCAGATGAACGGATTGCCATCACTACTTTGGAAGGGCGCGTCTCTTTCCAAATACCTTACTCTTTATTATGTTTTATATGTACCAAGGCTGCGTTGCCATCTCATTTCTATTTCACAATTAATTAATCAATCTAAGTGTACAATTGTTTTCACTAACTAAATCTGTGCTATACATGACCTACACTCAAGGGACCTAATTGGAGCCGATGAACAGCGAGATAGGCTCTTGTATTTCAGTGAAGTTCTTGCTTTGCATGCCGTCACTATGGTTCCTTTGACAGAGTTTGAATTATGGCATCGTCGGATGGGTCACCCTTCAGATCGTGTTGTCAAGTTACTTCCTGCTATTACTGCTAGTTCTATTATTAAAAAAATGAATAAAGCTTTGTGAGGTGTGTCCCCAAGCAAAACATGTTCGTAATTCTTTTCCTCGTAGTAAAAATAAAGCTAGTCATATTTTGGATTTGATACATTGTGACTATGGGGTCCTTACAAAACTCCCTCCGCGTGTGATGTAGTTTATTTTTTGACTCTGGTTGATGATTTTTCCCGAGCTGCCTTAGTCTATTTATTACGTGATAGAAAGGAAATTCACAAAAGTTTTCTTTCCTTCTTGGCTATGCTTGAGAAACAAATTTGGTAGATCTGTAAATATAGTTCGTGGTGATAATGGTACTGAGTTCAAATGTATGATGCCCTATTTTGATGCTCATGGTATTATTTCCCAGACCTCTTGTGTTCATACGCCCCAACAAAATAGAAGAGTAGAATGCAAACATAGACACATCTTAATTGTGGCTCACACCCTCATGTTTGAAGCTAATATCCTTGTTTGTCTATGGGGTGAGTGCGTTGTGACAGTGGTTGATGTAATTAATCGAACACCGTTCGGGTTACTTGGGGGAAAACACCTTTTGAGATACTCACTAGGAAGGCTCCAATTTTTCTTCATTTGAGAGTATTCAGTTGTTCATGCTTTGCTTATGATAACAGATCCCGGAGTGATATATTTGCACCTCGTAGCCGATGGTGTGTCTTTACCGGTCATCCTCAAAGGAAGAAGGGCTAGAAAATGTATTACTATACTATGGGTGATATATTTGTTTTCAGGGATGTACAATTTTCACGAAAATGGATTTCCATTTTCTGAACCGTCTGTTGATTCAGATACCTCAACCAGTGTCCTTGAGTAGTCTTTCATTGATGATGAGGAGTCCCATTTTTTTGCCCCCCCCCCACCAAATGCTCCTGCATCCTCCACAACAGCACCAACGACTTAGTTAGTTGATGATGCTCCTCCTTCATCCACAACGGGCTAGAAGTCCGTGGCTCTATGACTTTGTGTATCTTAACAACTTTGGTGCTAGTCACAAAGAAGGCCCACCAGATTTTGTTGAGCCAAACCCAAGACCAGAACCATCTTTTCCACAGAAGCTTGCGCTTTTCTGGAAAGTTTGGTAGTTTAACTCAAGAGATTCAATTTCTCTTATTCTGTTGAGTGGAGAAGCATTTTCAGCTTCGACTTATCCCTGTGTATAGTGAGAACTCCTAATTGAGTTTCACTTTTCTTCCTCAGATCAGAGAGACCAACCTTTAGCCTACTATTTTCTTCTTTGATGGCAGAATAAGTGGTCTAGATGACCCTAAAGTCATCCAACACAGTCAAAATTGATTCTGCTGTAAAGAATGTGCTTACGAAGAAAAACTAGAATTAGAGGCAGGAGATACCTCATCATCAGAATGAGCCATCAAGCATATATCTTCTGTCTCTGAGCAGAGGCAATAGAATGCGTCATCAGATTCTTAATCAGAACTAGACTCCGTTAATGATAGATGGTCCTTCTTTGGTTGCTCAATCACAAGTGCCTTTCTCCTTCTCGCATTGTGGTCATACTTCTTGTCACCATCTGGTCCTTACCTCTTGGACACTGTTGGGTAAGGACAAATAATCTTGAAGTGACCAGGTTGGCGACAATTGTAATAGAGAAGCTCATTGTTTCCACTAGATGGTTTTTGACTCTGGAATGATTTTCTGCTTGAGGAGTGATTTCCGGTGTCCCTTGGCTTATTCATAAACTTCCTGAACTTTTTGGCAAATGCAGCCATATCTTAATCAGAAAGTAATACATTACCTTTCTTAGTCTCAACATTTTAAGTTTGTAAATAGTATTTCTTAATCTCAACACTTTACCTTCATGTCCTTTAACTTTGTAAAAACTTAGATTTGATATCCATTTGATGTATCTATCCAATTGGATTGAGTCATGAGTGAAAATATCAATCTTATTGTTCCCATTGGTGTAACAGGAGCAAATGCTTCTTCAAAGTCGATGTAATGTCTTCGGGCGTAGCCTTTGGAAACTAGCCTTGCCTTTTACTTCTCAACTTTTCCTTTGTATTACATTTGTTCCTAAATATTCACTTGACGCCAACTGCTTTATATCGTGGCGGAAGAGTAGTCAGTTCCATGTTTTATTCTTCACAATCCACTTGATCTCATCATCCATTGCATCTCTCCACTTATTTTTTATTGTATTTTCTTCAAATTTTAGTGGCTCAAACTCACCGCCTAATAGACAAAAGATTGTAAGTTGATCATTTGAATTTACATTTCGTGCTACCTCATAAATCTCTTCAATGCTTCTCATGTGCGACACTTCTTTTTCATCCGAACCTTGTGGTGAAGCTTGAGTTTGAGTGAGAGACGATGAATGAATTATATTTTCTTGATTCTTTTCAGATGTCCTCATTTTCCATGGGAAGTAAGAGATTATAATATTCTTTGCCATTGTTTCTCCAATCCCATGAGCCTTCTTCACCAAGCTCCACATCGACTTATTGTAAGTTTTTTTGAGTTTGGATGGTAGAGCTTGTAGCCTTTTAAATGATTATCATATCTAATGAATATAAGCGTCTCACCCTCATCGTCAAATTTTGATCAGGTACATGAGCATATGTAATACATTCGAACATCCCCAAGTGTGAGACTCCGGGTTTACCTCCATGCGAGGCTTCTTGTGGAGTAATTCCATTCAGATTCTTCATGGGATAACAATTTTGAAGGTAGAAGGCACAATTCACAACTTTTGTCCAAAATTCTTTTGGTATAATCTTAGTCTTCGGCATGTCTCAAGCTATTGAGGATAATCCCATTTGTTCAACAACACCATTTTATTGTGGTGTGCACGAGACAGTAATGGGACAACATATGCCATTATCTTAGCAAAATTTATTTAACTCATATGGTGGCATGCCAATACTTGTCTCGTAACTAATGTTATAGACAAACTTCACAAGTCCTAAGTGCTGATCCCAACTATCTTGAAACTCCAGTGCACAAGCCCCCAACATATCCTTCACGATTTGTATAACATGGTCAAACTGCCTACCAGTATGTGAATGGAAAGCAACACTAAACTTCAACTTGATTCCCGTAGACTTTGGAACTTCAGCATATCCCGGGGGTCACTAACATGGTAATTAGAAGGGCTAGAAAATGAAAAGAATAACAAAAGAAATTAAAAAACCGAAAAGAATAAGGGCTAAGAAGAAAGGGAGAGGGAGAAAATGAGAGGAAGAAAGAAACCACGAGGAGAATGAATAGTAAAGAAAAAATAAAGAAAAAGAACAGAAATCAACATGACGGGTTTAATAGGTTTGATGTTCTAGTAATTTGGGTGATTTGATACTTTTTTAAGAGTTAACATGCTTATTGACGTAATACCAGGTCCGAGGACTTTAATTAGTTTTAAGGAAAGCTGCAATTTGATACAAAGTTGGTAATTTTTATGCAATTAACATAACGACATGCACCACCACCTGCGTACTTCAACGATTACCTAAAAGAAACAGCCGTCAGCGAGGGATGTGATGTGCCATTAACTCCCCGGGCCGACGAACAGCGACTTAACCAGCGGGGCAGCAGGCCGCATTGAACCTCACGTCCGGTCAACCACCGTTTTTTCGCCCCAATTTGATTTCCTGGTTCGCATCTTTATCCCTGCACCCGAAACTTTATTGGATTTCGCGTTTGATTTTTTCGCTGCAAGTTGTGCGCGCCTGCATTTTGAGGATTTTTTTATGCGTGAAATGACTTTGATTAGCTGATCGTTTGCCGGGGTTCGGCGTATTATTACAATTGGAAGTTTTAGTTAGCTAGAGGTAGATCGGAGTTCGAAATGGAGTCCTTAATTCAGCTGTGCGATTTGATCGCTGACAACCCGACTCAATTCCAAGAGAAACTGATGTGGATGTGTGGCCGATGTCCACCGGCGGAGGTAATGCTTGCGGGGTCTCCTCGGGTTTCGAGGACACAGTTGAATGCGGTCCTCGCGGTGGCTCGATTCCTCTCAAGGTGCTCCAACGTCGTTGACAAATTGCCCAGGTCACTCATTATTGCTTTTTATCGCTCTATTTGTTCTTCTTTCGACCCATCGTTTTGGCCTCAGTCGTTTGGGATCGACTCGATTGCATTATTCTTTCATGATTTTCTGAGATATGTCTCAAAAGCATCAGATCTATGCCCGGAATTTGCCACATATATCTCAGGGTTCACGGCTGAAATTGTGATATCTGCAATAGGCAATGTAACTGGAGATATCAGGATATGCAAGGTGTTCTTGAATGCCATATCTTTAAATTTCCCTCCACTTGATCCTCCTGATGCGGATAGGCTAATTTTCTCCCTTCTTGATCGGTTTGAGGTTTCCATTCCATGCTCTTCTCAAGAACTCATTTCGAACACCTCAGCAGCAACCTCTGCTCAGAGCTCACCACTGAGTTTGGGCCATGATAGGTTGAGTCCTGGAAATGATATCAGCAATGTCTCTGGATCATCCGCTTGTTTAGTTTCCAGACTTGCCGATGACCCCATCAGCTCGCAGTCACCTAAGAGTATCATGGTAAATGGAAGCAATGGTCCTTGGAGGACCAATGTGGACTTACTGGCAGCAAATATGGTCTATAGTGATAGTGGAGGAGGCAGTGTTTCGTACAATCGAGCTATTGCTGCTTTTGAGGAGGAGCCCTTAGATAGCCTTGAGAAGAGGGAAATAGCTTTCAAATTGATAGGACACATATTGGACAAAGTATCAGTTGATGCCAAACTTTTGGAGCAAGTTAGAAGCATTGCTAGGGAGCAACTACAGTCAATGGTGGCGTTTCTCAAGGTGAAACCAATGGGTTATGCATCTCTATTGCTCCTTTGCTTAAGATTCCTCGTTGAAAGAGAGAGACAAGGCCTGTGAATTACAGCCCTGCTTGTTGTACACACTTTTTTGTACCCAAAAAACATGTACACTTTTTTGTTTGTGAACAGGCTATTCCTAGACAAAAAATAGCCTGTTCACACACGTGTGTACTAGTGGGTACAAAAAAGTATGTACAAACAGATTTTCCTCTGAATTAAACTACATACTTTTTGGCTTTTTGCAGGTAAGGAAACATGACTGGGCAGAACAGGGTCAATCTCTGAAAGTTAGGATCAACAGAAAGCTTTCAGCGTACCAAGCAGCTTCTAAGTTACAGATTAAAACCTTTGTGACTATAGATTCTGATGTGAAATCATCAAAGCGGTTGCTGCATGAGGCTCTTAAATTATTGATTGAGGCTGCTGAGGCGTGTTTGTTCTCACTGTGGCGAAAGTTAAAAGCTTGCGAAGATCTGTTTGGCGCATTGCTAGCTGGAATTTCACAAGCTGCTACTGCTCGTGGTGGTCAGCTACTACGTGTTTCACTAATCTGGTTTAAACCTCTTGTCCTAGCTGCATGTGATCAGGTACACTTTTGGGGTCTGCTAATGTTGTTCCAAAGGTGATTTTATGCTTCTGTTGAATGTTTTTTGTGATGCTATGGGTGGCAGGCTGACACCTGGTCCAGCAGTCGAGGGGCCATGTTCGAAAGCCTCTTGAAAACTAGCTCTGAGATAATTGAATTTGGATTGAAAGCAGACCGATCTCCAGTGGACACTTTTATTATGGGATTGGCTACAAGTATTCGGGAAAGAGATGATTACAGGGAAGAGGTTAGTTAATGCGCATAGGCATTTGGAAATAAAATATATACTATGTATTAATTTTTTGTTGATAGAGTGCATGGTGCATCAAGTAACAATTCAGTTGTCACTTGATTTTGCTTAAGTGTTAAATGTACCTCTTGTTTACTACTTGTTTGTGAGGTCAATAGGTCATTGAAATTCATACACTTTGCACAGTTCAATGTTGAAGGTCCGAAGGATTTCAGAAGGTAGTGTAATGTCCTAAATATTCTTAAGATTGGGAGTTGGAGCGAATTTGTTTAATCATATACTATCCTCCGTTTCTTTTTAGTTGCAACATGGAAAATTTTACACTATTCACATGCTCTACTTTGACTACATTTTATTTATTAAGTGTGATTTTTTTTTGAAAAATATTGTTGAATTCATCTCATTATAAATTTTCACAATTTGTTTTTAATTTTTTTAATAATAGAGAATTAAATATAATGACGGTCAAAGTTATGCATTGGCAAGCGTGAAAATGGGAATATTGCAACTAAAAAAACGGAGGAAGTAAGATGTATGGGCCAACTATTAGCAAACCTGGTTTGTTGATCGAAAGTTCAATGTTTTAAAACATGTTTTATTGTTTTTGGTTTGAAAAGGATTTGATTTCAAAAGTGTTTAGCTGAGTTCTTAAATAAGTATTTGATAATATATAAATAAATATATTATAGTGTTTAAAAAAGTACTATCTTCATCCCGTTCAAAGGTTACCATTGCAAAATGGCAAGGGTTATTTAGACAATAATTAAATATGGTAATTTGAGTACATTTTGAGAAATAATTTTGATGGTTATATAATATAATGGGGTCATTGATGATAGTTGAGATGTTATAGATGTATTATTTTTAATACTTGATGATTAATTTGTCATTTAAGAATATTAATTGTTTCCTAAAATGGAAATGAGAACATTTAAATGGGACGTCCCAAAAAGCAAAGTGAAAACATATGAATAGGACGGAGGGAGTATTATTTTTTAATGTATTTTATGGAAAATGGTTGCAAAAGAAAAACACATTATCTAATTCGATATTATTTTGATTCAAAAATAGCAAAACATAAAACAATCACTTAAGAAACTACAATTTGCAAAATGGCAGTGCATGAGCTTTTTACTTTTTAGATTTTGGGGAGCCAAACACTCCCATACAAATTTTTACGAAGAGTATAAAATAGATGTTAACATAGGGTACAAAAGTGAGGTACATATCTTCTAGTCAATCAACTTTCTGCAATTGCATTCACCAGTCTTCTACTGGAGACATTTACTATACATTTGGCTGTAAACTACCACCAATTTCATATGATAGTATGCTACAGTTTTAAACACACGTGGAGTTGGGGATGGAGAGGCTGGAGGTATCTGCTTCCATTTCTGATGTATGACTTCTTGCTTTGAAACATTTTCCTTAAAAAAGAAAAGCTAAGAAAACAAAATTGGTTCTCCATATTTAAGTGAATTCAAATGTCATTTATATTTGGGTGATATATTTGTTATGTGCCTCAGCAAGGGTATGTGAAGGGCAGCCTTGGCACATCGGTTGAGGTGTTGCCGTGTGACCTTGAGGTCTGAGGTTTCAGTCCTAGAAGCAGCCTCTTGCAAAAATGCAAGGGTTGCCTACATCCACCCTTTTAGTGGGGACCCTTCCCCACGCCGTTGTTTAGCGGGGTTGCTTTGTGCACTGCACTGCCCTTTTGCCCTCAGTAGGGGTATGTGCCAGCTTCTGGGTCATAAAGGTTTAATTTACGCAGTGCTTGATTGTCTTAGGTGATCGTTTCTTGGTAAAGAGGCTTAAAAAGTTTCATTTTAGAGCTTCTTAAACAATAAGCTGTCCACATCTAACATTAAACACTCCCTTATTTACTTTAGGAGGTATATTTGGTTGATTTGATGCTTTTACATGTGTAAGATTTTCCTAAATTTATGTGAACACCGTTCCTCTTTTATACCACTTTTCAGCAAGAAAGGGAGAAATGTGCAGCTTCTGCTAGTCAATTGAATGTTATACGGCTGCTGGCTGACCTGAATGTCAAAGTTAACAGGCCTGAAGTGGTTGACATGATACTTCCATTGTTTATTGAAAGCTTAGAAGAGGGTGATGCTTCCGTTCCTGGAAGACTAAGGCTACGGGTATGTTGCTGTCGTTTCTGCTATATTTTAGTGCACTTATCTCTATATCTTTTTACTTTCACAATGTTAAGGGTTTCATTTAATCTTTTTCTCAGACGCTTAACCTCTTACGTTGGATTTATTGCAGCTTCTTGATGCTGTTTCTCATCTGGCGAGTTTAGGCTTCGAGAAAACCTATCGTGAAGCTATTGTTCTACTGATACAGAGCTATGTGAGCAAACTTACTAATATTGGATCAGCTGAAAGTAGAACTTTGGCTCCAGAAGCTACCACAGAACGTGTTGAGGTTTGTTGCCATAGGCTTGTTGCATTTTTATACTAATATGTTTAGTTTTCTTTAAGAAGAGCTGGGTCTTTTTGGCGTGCTCACATGTTCAATCACATTCTAGACAATTCCTGCAGGATTTCTTCTGATTGCCAGTAGACTAGTCAACCCTAAGTTGCGATCAGATTACCGTCACCGGCTGTTGTCATTGTGTTCAGAAGTGGGCTTGGCCGCTGAGGCAAAAAGTGGAAGGTAGGTCTCTGCTACCTTGCTAAGCAGACATATTTATGGCATCCTCTTCAGTGAAGCTAATGACACTTGTCTTTTGCAGGAGTGGTGCAGATTTTCTTGGGCCTCTACTTCCTGCTGTTGCTGAGATATGCTCAGATTTTGATCCGAGTGTAGATATTGAACCCGCAATTCTCAAGCTATTTAGAAATTTATGGTTTTATGTTGCTCTCTTTGGGTTAGCTCCACCAATACAGAAAAATCAAGGTATACCAAAGCCTGTTTCCACTATTCTAAACAGCGTAGGCAGCATGGGAACAATTGCACTCCAAGCAGTCAGTGGGCCTTATATGTGGGATTCTCAGTGGTCTTCTGCTATCCTGCGCATCTCCCAGGGGACCCCACCCCTTGTAAGTTACACAGTGCAAGAGCTTACTTCTTCTAATTTAGCTATTTGCCTATATCCTCCAACTCTTATAGTTTTACGTAGCTCACAGACTATTTCGAAGCAGATGCCTGCAACTTTGCATTTTTGATTTAGCAAATTTGTAGCCTTTTCATTTCATTTTATTATAGAATTTCTAATATATATATATATATATATATATATTCTCAGATTTGAAGAGATGTCATCATTTCTTTTGTTGTCTTGTGTTGTATACTTTTATATTTGTTAAAGGGAAATAACAGAAATTAGTGCAAACACATTTGTATAAAGCATGCTAAATATTCTCTCCGTCCCCAAATTAACTTCCTACTTTGACTTCACTGGTTTTTAGGCAAGATACCTTTTCCGTTGACTTTCCAAACACATCAGCATTAGAGACACGGTGAAGAAAGAGAGTAACCAATGTTGTACAATTCAAAGGGGTAAAAGAGTCTCTTAGTACACAATACCATAAGGGGAAGTGAGAAATTAATTTAGGGATGGAGGGAGTACGATTCAGTCTAATGCCTACGGAAGGCATCAGTTATATGAAGAATAAAATAAAGATTAGAGTAGGGGTGCAAACGAGCCGAGCCAAGCCCGAGTTTATGTAGGCTCGAGCTCGAAATATATTTTATTGGCTCGAGCTCGAGCTTGGCTCGAACGAGCTTAAAAAATCCGGGCTCGAGCTTGACTCGCAAATATTGACATGGCTCGATTCGGCTCGATAATTTTGGTTCGTCAACTCAAATGTTACAAGTTCGATTAGCTCGAAAGTTCGGGTTCGAACTCGAGCTCAAGTATGAAACAATCTTTGAATATTTGTGCTTAGTGTTTGCAAATTGAAATTTACATGCCCAACAACTAAAAGTAGAGTAAATTTTGTCCAAAATAAATAAAAAATGATCAAAACATGATGATTTAACTGAAACTAGAGTTACGGGAACGGAAAATATAATATCTCCCTGATCCTCATATACATTTACCAATCGGTATTATATATATTAATTTATATTATATATTATATATACTAATATATATTATATATTAATTTATCTTAATATTATATATATGTATTGAATATATAAATATACACACATGTAAAACTAGGCTCGCGAGCTAGCGAGCCTAAAATTAGTAGGCTCGTTTATGGCTCGACTGCTTAATGAGCCGGCTCGAGCTCGAGTTTGACCGAACTCGATTCGAGCTTTGACCGAGCAGCTCACGAGCGGCTCGGCTCATTTGCACCCCTAGATTAGAGGAAAGTGATTCCTCGGGTGCCAGAGTGACAGTGTTCCGTGTATCACTCCAGTTCATGTGCAGAAATTGGATGTCTACTGAAGTTTTAAATGAGTATAACTTGTAATGGTCACATGATACAGAACTACTGATTATAACTGTTATTTTGCTACTATAAGATGCTCCACTATCCATGCATGTTTTTCTTATCACGACACATACCATATTTCATATTCATTGCTATTACACTCTGATGATGGGTCAGATATTTCGAGAGGCATATAGGGTTTCAGCTGAAAGAAATAGGGTATCTTTATTTTAAGGCTTTAATACAAACAAACAATTTCATCAGGTTGTGAGCTCTGTCAAATGGCTTGAAGATGAATTGGAACTTAATGCTCTTCATAACCCAGGTAGCCGAAGGGGGAGTGGAAATGAAAAAGCTGCTGCAAATCAGAGGACTGCCCTTTCTGCTGCTTTGGGAGGACACTTGGAGGCTTCAGCAATGAGCACCATTTCAGGTCTTTATGATACATCTTCATCATTGGTGTTGAAAAACATCAACTTTTCCATGCATTTTAAAGCCTCTTATGATTGGCTTAGAGTATCCCAAATCCTAATGCTTTGTCAGTTATTTTCTTACACAGGCGTGAAGACAACGTATCTACTCGCGGTAGCATTTTTAGAGATCATACGGTTTAGTAGCAATGGTGGTATCCTGAATGCTGGCCATGGTTCTACTGCTTCTCGGAGTGCTTTCAATTGTGTCTTTGAATACTTGAAAAGCCCTAATCTTATGCCATCAGTTTCTCAGTGCTTAACAGCAATTATCTACCGGGCCTTTGAGACAGTATTAGACTGGCTGGTATGTGCACATGCACTATATATACGCGTGTGTACATGTACAGATCTATGTACATATGTGCACAGACACGTAATACACAAACATACTTACACACATATGTACATATTTGTAGATGTATACATCTATGTCTAGTTCTTGATTTAAATCAGAATTTGAGTAAAATGCTTTTTGAGATAAAAATGATAATGAATGTGATAGAATGGATTTGAGAGCTAAGAACTAATGAATGTGATAGAAACCACGGTGGTATTTTTGCAAATAAACTCAACTTTACTTCCACTACGAACAGGGCACTACCCTGAACATAAAAGTGCATTGTTCACACCTTTGCATGTCAAGTGTCGTTCTCGCTAAAACCACACTACAGTACTCACGCACGCACACTGTATTTATTTTCACATTTTCTGCTGAAAGTTTTGAAGTCAACAAACAATACTACAATTTTTTAGTATAATTGCTTTTTTTGAAAGGATGACCGAAGATCGGAGACTGGGAAGGTTGCTGAGACTAGAGAGTCTACCTTGTCTGTCCATGCTTGTTTTTTAATAAAAAACTTATCTCAGAGGGATGAACATGTTCGAAATATCTCGGTTAATTTACTGAATCAACTTAAGGATCGATACCCTCAGGTTGAATCCCATCGTCTTTTACATTTCTTACAACTTGCACATCTTAATTGCTATCTTCTCTCCTGTTTCTAATTATAGTTCCACAATGCTTCATGTGATTTCAGATTTTATGGAACTCTTCTTGTTTGGATTTGCTGCTATGTTCTGTACAAAATGAACCTTCTTCAACTCTTGTAAGTGATCCTGCTTGGGTTGCTACTGTCCGTTCTTTGTACCAGAAGACTGTTCGGGAATGGATAGTTGTGTCACTATCATATGCTCCATGCACCACTCAGGGCCTTCTTCAGGTTACTTGTTATAATTTCCTTGGTCATCTTTTTTAATGTTGTATACTTTCATTCATTAGTTGGTGTATCATATATATGGGTTAAACCAATGTCTATATTACAACAACAACAACAACATAACAACATTACCCCAGTGTCGCAAAGGCTCCTGCCTACGGTGGGGTAGGGGGGGTTGAATGTACGCAACCTTACCCATGACAAAAATTGCATCGAAAATTGCATGGACTGACTGCTGCTTCATAACAAAGAAGTGCAAACAGTTTAGTGAGCCATTTTGCTTTATTCCATCATATTCCCAAGCCCAAAAATAGCGAGTCTTTGGCTCCATTGCAAATGGTGGAAATACCAATGTCTATATTACTGCAAGGTTCATTTTAACTGCTCCACATTTTTATTGTGATGCCACTCTGAATTAACATGCTGTCACACTCCAATGATGTCATCCCTTTCTAGTAACCATATTGCCACTGTTTTCAGTTTCTTTCGAATCACAATTTAACTCTAAAATTGAGAATTGTGTTCTCAGGAAAAGCTCTGCAAAGGGAACACTTGGCAAAAAACACATCCAACTAAAGATGTTGTTTCTCTTCTATCTGAGATTAAGATTGGTACTGGTAAGGACAACTGTTGTACTGGCACAAAAACTGCAAATATTCCTGCTGTCATGGCTTCGGCTGCTGCAGCATCTGGTGGAAATTTAACACTGACAGAGGCATTTAATTTGGAGGTGCTAAGTACTGGAATTGTTAGTGCTACTGTGAAATCTAACTATGCTGGGGAGATTGCTGGAATGCGAAGGATATATGAGGGCATTGGCGGGCTTGGTTCTAATTTCCTAACAATGGGAAATGGGTGCAATCTTGATCCCCCAACCCCTGGATCTATAGCCACCTTTCAAGACTCTCAGACCAAAAGTGTTTCTTTTCGTGAGTTATTACTTGTGAGGTTTGTTCACCTACTTCAGAAGTTCGTTAACATAGCAGAGACAGGTGCTGAGGTAGATAAATCATCATTTCGTGAAACATGTTCTCAAGCTTCTGCTTTACTTCTTTCAGACATGGTAAATGCAAATTTTTACCTTCCTTTTACCTTTTCCTTGAAGGGACTTGTGCTTACACTAAATGCTCACCTGCTGAAAGTAATAGTGCACTCTTTGTTGTAGGGTTCAGATTCAAAGTCTGTTGAGAGCATTACAAAGCTTCTACGTCTTCTGTGCTGGTGCCCAGCTTACATTTTAACACCTGATGCAATGGAGACAGGTATATTTATCTGGACATGGTTGGTTTCAGCAGCTCCTCACCTGGGGCCGCTTATCCTCTCTGAACTTGTTGATGCATGGTTGTGGACGGTTGACACTAAACGGGGTCTTTTTGCATCCGAGTCACGGTATTCTGGACCTGCTGCTAAGTTAAGGCCTCACCTGTCTCCCGGGGAGCCAGAATTACCTCCAGAGAAGGATCCTGTTGAACAGATAATGGCCCATAGACTATGGATTGGATTTTTTGTTGATCGCTTTGAGGTGATGTGTTATGTTTCTTAGCTCTGCAATGTTTTTGTAGAAGTTGAACTGCTATGTCATTTATTTAGCACTGTACACTGTACATATTATCTTTTTAATTTATCTCAAATTTTCCATTCCGTATCTGATAATTTATCCAATACTTCAGCGTTATGGTGTGTTAACTAATCTACAAGAACGTATCAAGTTTTGTTTCGAAGCTGGTGTAATCAAAATATTTTCACGTAAGAGAAATCTGCATGTGTAGTTGTTTTTCTTTTTCTGACTTTTTTTAAATTTTATTGTGTCAGGTGGTGCGACATAATAGTACTGAACAGCTTTTACTATTAGGTCGATTGCTACAAGGAACCACAAAACTCTCTTGTAACTTTTGTCACCACCCTGCTGCTTCTGGAACCTTCTTCACTCTCATGCTTTTAGGGATAAAGTTTTGCTCTTGCAAGTCACGGGGTAGTCTACAAAACTTTGCGCCGGGGCTTCAGTTACTGGAAGATAGGATTTACAGGTAGATGCTGTATGTAAATGTTGTTCACATCACATGCACCTGAAAGTATTATCTGCATATCTAGTGTATGTATATAATGAGTAAAGTTTCACTATGGTCTAATAGGCTATGAGCATGTAAAGATATCCTGTTGATCGCATTGTGTATGTTAAACCATCCAATAGTTTGCCTAATTGTTGTAGCCCAACCTTGTCTGTTTTTTTAATTGCTCTACTACTACCGACCCATTATAGTTTTTTTGTTCCTAAATATAGAAATTCATGTGCTATTTAATAGAGCCAAAGTAAGAAATTTCTGATGAAAAGAGAGGAAACTGAAACAAGCCTATTGTTTCTTTTGCTATGAGAATGAATTGAAAGGAAAAGTTAGTGTTGGATATAGTCATATAAAGTATAAAGCTGTTAAATCCATCATAGTAGTCTCATTTGGTCTTATACCTGATTAACTGTTCATTCCATCAAATGCTGTAGTGTCAGGTTTAAATTGAGGAATTGCGTATCTGATCCAGACACCCACGGCCTCTGTTATTGCCTTTGATCCAATTTCGAAGTTTGCTTGCTCACTAGTTGCTGTCATTTTCAATTGACTCGGTTTGAAAAGAATGGAGATTTTAAGTAGCAAGAACTTTCTGTTAGGAACGATCTCGGCTTTAGCAGTTTAACCATCTATAGGCTACACCGCTACAGCACAATGGCATTGAAACATCATGTGCATGGGTATATGCTAAGAATGTGTGTCATCAGTGGCGGAACCAGCTCGGGGATCTTGGAGGGGCACATAATGGAAAAAGGAAGGTCTCCGGCAAAACGGATGGCTTGTTGTGGCCCCGAAATTCTAAAAAGCTAGGGAAAAGGGCCAAATAAACCTTCTACTATTTCTAATGGATCACTCAAGTCCATGTACTAAAAAAAGTTTTATATAAGCATGCTTACTTTAAAAAACTGATCAATCTAGTCATTTAATCAATTTTTCACCCGTAATAGCAGGTGTTTATACTCTCGTATTAAAAAAACTCAAAACATTGTTAATTTTTTTAAAGTAACCATATTTACATGATACTTCTTTTAATAGAAGGATTTCAATAATAAATTGATAATATTAAAACAGTTTATTTGACTATTTTCCCAAAAATTAATAATTTTGAAATGTAAATTGAGAAATCCCAATTTTATATTTACATACAATATGAGATGAGACTTTTTTATGAAACTTAAAAGGAAGATTTGACGAGTAAGCTATTCTTATAAAGTTATGATGCACTAATGCCTATGTAAGTACTCAAGAACTTTATTAATCTGAATTGGTGCATCACCATAAGAGTTAATGGTGATGATGATCATCATCATGTACAACCGAAATGGCTCAAGTGCTCAACTCCATCCTGCGGCCATCCCACCTGCTGAAAGCTTCCGCCGTCAACCCCATGAGCCCCAGAAAAAATATAATTATATATAGATACAAGTATATATATAATAAAAATATGAAACCACTGCAGGGGCACAAGCCCCTCCAAGCCCTTGAATAGTTCCGCCACTGTGTGTCATTGACACTTTTGGTGCCCGTTTGTGGCTAAACTGGCTGATTTGGCTCATATGAAAAGTAAAAAGTATTGCAAAATTACATGTTTCCTCAAATGGATGAAATGATAGAGAATAACAGTAGTATAACACTTCTATCCTCATTATTTAGGTTTGTTTTTAAACTTGTCAAAAACATTCTTAAACAAGACAGCGCACTTTGATCCAGTCATTTTAGCCACAAGTTTAGTTCATTCATCAATTTCAGCCATTTCAACCAACCTTTACCCTCACCAGATAGTTCTTTAGTGGCTGAGTGGAGTTACTTATCTTGTTCTTATGCAGGGTTGCGTTGAACTGGTTTTCCCACCTACCTGAATGGTATGACATGGGTAATAACAATTTTGCATTGAGCGAGGCTCACTCAGTTTTTGCGTTTGTCAATCATCTTTTGAATGAACCAGTGGATGCTCAGCTTGTTAGGAAGGGACAAGGATCAGAAAATGGAAGCTCTTTTAATAATGTGGTATGACATCACTTCCAGCAGGGGTTTAAATGAAAAATAGTAACATGGTTCAATCATAATATAGGTCATTTGTTTTTTTACCTCGGTAAGAAATTAAAGTTTAAACCAACGAAGTTTTGCAAGTATAGCAATGCCTGAATCCATATCATTTTGCTCATTTCATGAAATTGATAACTTTATCCAGAAAGATCACTGTCACCCTATTTGGGGTCAGATAGAAAACTACACTGTTGGAAGAGAGAAGCGGAAACAGTTACTTTTGATGTTATGCCAGCATGAGACCGACAGACTTGATGTTTGGGCACAACCCATTGTTACCAAGTAAACTACAATAAAATTGCTAGACATTTTTTTCTTTCAAAATTTTCTTCCTGTGCTAGCTAGCTAATCTCTACAAAGTTTGTTTTTGGTGTTTAAGGGAAAGCGTTTCACGGCCTAAAGTTAGCACAGATAAATTGGTTGAGTATGCTAAGACCGCCTTCTCTGTTGATCCCCGGATAGCTTTATCACTTGCATCAAGATTCCCCACAAATAATGCTCTAAAAAGTGAAGTGGCTCAGTTGGTTCAGGTATGTTTCAACAAAATTTTAGAGATCAGAAATCGCTAGTCTTGTTACTTTGATAAAATCAATCTTTTTTTACCCACATTTCTGTTTTTTCTCCTATTGTAGTTGCACATACTAGAAATTCGCAACATACCAGAAGCTTTGCCATACTTTGTCACTCCTAAGGCCGTTGATGAAAATTCATCACTTTTGCAACAATTGCCACACTGGGCTGCTTGTTCAATCACAATGGCTTTGGAGTTCCTTTCACCACCATACAAGGGCCATCCTCGGGTGATGGCTTATGTTCTAAGGGTGTTGGAATCTTATCCTCCTGATCGTGTGACTTTCTTCATGCCTCAACTGGTGCAGGCTTTAAGATATGATGAAGAGGTATCCATTACTTACTCGGATATATTGAATACCAAGTATTAACATGTAAAGCCAGAGTTTAGTTTTGAAGCTGCAAATTTATGCATGTATACTTTGAATAGAACCTAGTATAGTCCTTCAGTAACTCTTAATGATGATGGTTAATCATATGTAGAGATTGGTAGAAGGATACTTACTTAGAGCTGCACATCGAAGTGACGTGTTTGCTCATATTCTGATATGGCATTTACAGGTGCATGAATTTCTCTTTTCGGTTAATCTATACATGCTTTAGTTTTCTTATATAACTGATCACTCCAATAATATTTTAGGGAGAGAAATGCACACCAGAATCTGTGAAAGATGCTTCTGCAAAGGTATGCCTTTGCAAATAAATCATTTATGTCACAGAGCACTAGATATTTTTCTTAATTCCAGAGATGCTTTGTTTAATCCGATTTTTAACTACTATTGTTTAACTAGAGATTTTTCATATTTACGATCTAGACTAGTATAGGAGACAAGTTCCATGCATCCCTAGAGTTACTCTCCATTTCAGAGTGCATAATGTATAAAATAAAGAGTATATTAAGGTGTATTTGTAAAACATGGAATGACTTATAAGCTTTAAACAGGTTTTTATTATTGATGCTCAATCATTTTCCAATATAAAGGTTAATGTAGTAAGCATAGACTCTACATTTGGATAGTCAAATCTCACTTTCGTATTCTTAAATTTAAAATGTCCATGGACAAAAATGATGTCAACTCTTAAAGTTAAATAAAATCAGGCTTGAGATAGCCGTTTGGGAATATTCTAGGGAAAGTTCCCGACATAGGAGAAAACAGGTTTTGGAATTCCAAAATAGGACTACTATGTTTTTCTTCCAGAAATAAGAGTAACATGGTGGTATTTAACGCCCTTTTGGAGTCATTACTGCCAAAATAGTTGCAGTACTAGGCATTAACATGACAATATTTACTTAACATGGCAGTATTTTTCAATCATGACAGTAACAACTCCTATTTCGGTAACAAAACCATACCAGTCCTATTTTGGAATTTTGATTTCCAAAACCTATTTACTCCTATTTAGGTCAATTTCCCAATATTCTAAAGAGTATCCAATATCTAAACTCTACATATTCCCTGTTGCACATTACATTAGGCTAGTTGTCCATTTTTAAGCCATTTTTGTAATCTTCAGTTTTCTGCAGAAGCAGAAATATAGAAGGATGAAGAGGAATTTTAACCGGGTATATTTTTATGTTTCCCTAGCAGAACAACACGTTTCAGGCACTGTTGCCGGCAGTTAGGCAGCATATAATTGACAGTTTCAGTCCTAATGCACTTGATGTCTTTCAAAGAGAATTTGATTTCTTTGACAAGGTCACATCTATATCCGGTGTTCTGTATCCACTTCCAAAGGAGGAAAGAAGAGCTGGAATTCGAAGGTAATATAATTAGAAATTGTTCAATATAGGACTCAAACATACACAAAGTTCGAGTTAAATAGGAGTGAATGAGTCCTATTTTGGGAATAACACAAAGATAGTCCTATTTATGAACTTAATCCTTGTTTTAGTCCTATTTATAAACTTAGGGAATTTTTTCTAATATAATTTAGATATACGGGATGTTTGGACAATTAACTACTTATTTATATTCATATTTCTGACATTGTAGATTATTTATTATTTTTGAACAGGGAATTAGAGAAAATTCAGGTGCAAGGGAATGACCTCTATCTACCTACTGCTCCGACTAAACTTGTCAGAGGTATTCAAGTTGACAGTGGAATCCCTTTACAATCAGCAGCAAAGGTTCCTATCATGATAACATTTAACGTGGTGGATCGAGATGGGAGTGAAAATGATATAAAGGCCCAGGCATGCATATTCAAGGTGGATTAGTAAAGCCTTACTAGATTTAAATGCCAACTTAGTAAACACCCCCTCAAACTCATTTTTTGCCTGCATAGTTAGTGAACATCTGGATGTTGCCTCATGTAGGTTGGAGATGATTGTCGGCAAGATGTTCTTGCTCTACAAGTCATTTCTCTTCTCAAGGATATATTTGAAGCTGCTGGGCTTAATCTCTATCTGTTTCCTTATGGAGTTCTCCCAACGGGCCCAGAGAGAGGAATAATTGAGGTGAGTGTTTATTGGCCGTTGCATTTGTTTCTATGTATGCTTTCATTTTTATGTGTAAACACGTTCCACGTAAAATCTGAAGATTGGATTTCATCTTTGTTGTTACTTTTTAGGGGAAAATGTGTGTGAAAGAGTACATATGAAGGTCATATGAAACGGAAAAATTTCAAGTGGAATTGAGGATAAGTTTAGTATTAAGGGTGTTGAAACTTTTGGGTTGTAATGGTAGTATAACCTATCACGTTGAATCTCTCTCTCACTTGCTCCATATAATGGTTTAATTGTTAATAGCTAGGTGTTGTTGAGAAGTAGAATTATGATATATAGATTTCCTTCTGTAAATTTTTATGGGTTCCTATTCTTTACTATACATTTATCTTGTGTCAATCATCGACTTGATCATAAAATCGGGATGTGGCTTCTACTATTTGTATAAATAGCTAATACCTAATTAGTCCCTTGACCATACACTATTACTCAATTTGGTTCTTGACTTTCTTGGCTCTCATTTTAGTCGTCGGCTATGCAATTTGGACCCAATTTAATTCTGTCCCTTCAATATTTGTGCATATGCATTCCTCAACTTTAGGATGTTTTGTATTTTTAACCAGCGAAGAAGAAATTTGGGAACCACTTGAATGAACAATAATACCCTTCCTAATTAGAGTCAAGTATGCCTGAGCACTAATCTTGGTTGAAAGTGCCAGGTCATGATCAAAATGAGTTCAAAAGGAAGAAGTTATCTAAATGGAGTTGTAGTGTATTAGTGCATCGTCAAGGGTTTCAATTGGGAAATTATTTTTATTAACAAATTTGAGTCTAAAAGGAAGTAGATAGTCAAGGGTTTAATTTGGGTTCTGATTAAATGAGGTACTACTACTAAGTTATTGTCAAGTGTTTAATTTGGGAAATTATCATACATTTCGTAAATAGTGCTGCCCAATTATTGTTCCTTCACTTGTCTTATGTTTTACAAACACGGTCTATTTAAAGGGGAGTTAACAAGAAATTTTTATACAGGTTGTACCTAACACGAGGAGCCGAAGTCAAATGGGAGAGACAAATGATGGGGGATTGTATGAGATTTTTCAACAGGATTATGGACCAGTTGGTTCTCCTGGTTTTGAAGCTGCTCGAAAGAACTTCATCATTAGTTGTGCTGGCTATGCTGTTGCTAGCCTTTTGCTTCAACCAAAGGATAGACATAATGGGAACCTTTTATTTGACAAGTATGTACTACCTACTTTTGGTACATTAGTCACATATACCATAACACTCTTCCAACGGTTCTTTATAAATTCCCTCTTTCAGATTCATGAGCATTTTTAGGGGTTAATAATATAGTTACTATACACAAATGCTATTCAAAGGCTCCATATGATTACTGGAAAGTGGAATCTAAATTTTGATGAAGAGTGTTTCTCCGGGAAAATAATTTGCTCTATATACAGATATCATGTAATGCTTATACCCACAAAAATAGAAAAATGAAATGGCTTCAGGAAAATTACTCTATTTTCAAAAGATGAAGTCATTTTTACAAAAGTTAAAATCATTTTCATTTTCAAAAGAACCAATCAAACATTTTTCTCGAAGAACATTTTCCCTCATAATGTGAAACTAACTGTCTCTTTGGATAAAGTAAGTTTCAGTAAACCTGGTGAATTTATGTGAGTCTAAGCTTATTTGGGTAAACCTAGTTGAACTCAGGTGCACATATAAAATTGTCATTTGGACAATTACTAGGTTTTTCCATCATTTGCAATGGAGCCAAAGATTCATTATTTTTTGGCTTGAGATTATGATGGAATAAAGCAAAATGGCTCAGTAAACTGTCTGCGCTTCTTTGTTATGAAGCAGCAGTCACTCCATGCAATTTTGGACGCGATTTTCACTATGGGTTATCCGGAAACAGTCTCTCTGTGCTTTAGTATAGGGGTAAGACTGCGTACATCCGACCCCCCCTTACCCCACCGTAGGTGGGAGCCTTTGCGGCACTGGGATAAATGAAACTGATGATGAAATGGACAATTACTAGGTTAACTCAAGTGAATGCAGTAAAAGTTTGTGGGCGAAGAAGGTTAACCTAGGTGAATATGTTAAATTTACTTATAGAGAGTTTAACCTTCGTTTTTTAGTAGTGGTTCTGTAAAACTGGTTATTGGAAGTTCTCCGAGTTAAATCTAGTTTCAATTTAAAACTAGGTTCTTATAAAAAATAGAAAAGAAACGAGGTGCACCTAATCTCAAACATGCCAATCATAAAAAACATCTTAGAAATTTTTTAATAGGCTCTAGAAGAACTTATGTTCACCTTGAAACAAACATACCATAAAAGTGTTTCCGGATATTGTCCGTCTCAGCCAAAGTTAATCTCAACATAAATATTGTAATACTTAATTTCGTATTAGTCGTCGTTTGTAATCACCGTGTAGTCCATGAGTATATTCCCATTTACCCCGTGTTTGGTGGGATGAATACTATATTTTTAATTAATTGTTTAGAATTAGTTATTTAAATAATATTAAGAGTTCATGCCAAAAGTTATAGGTACAAAGTTTATGTCGGATGTGGGATGGCCATCCTTTAGCAACCTTCTTACCATGAAATAGTATAATGAAGCCCATAATTGGCATTCCTAGTTCTTTACTCTTTAGTAAACCAAATGACTTGACTATTTAATAAGAAAAATCTGTTAATGAAAATAATAAGAAAATCATGTAGTTTGGCTAGAAATCATAAATGTGAAATCCATGATAGGACATATGTATGTATCTCCTGCATACACAGAGCCACTCCCACCACAATGGTTTTTTGAGGTGCATGATTGACCATGAATATGAAATGTGCATTTCTCGGTTCAATTTTCATTTGTTCTAAATGGGGTCGGGTGGGAGGTAGAGTTACCATGGTACAGAGATTGACTCAAGACAGTTATTGGTCAATGCAGTGTTGGGAGGTTAGTGCATATCGATTTTGGTTTTATCTTGGAGACTTCACCTGCTAGAAATATGGGATTTGAAAGCGCTCACTTCAAGCTAAGTCATGAGATGACTCAACTAATTGATCCATCTGGATCGATGAAAAGTGACTCGTGGTATCAATTTGTAAGGTGAGATGTCTTCCTTTAACAATATTTTATAACATTTCCCACCTATGGTCTCTCAATGATTTGTTTATTCCTGATATTAATCTTTGGGTTTTATTTTTTTGGTGCATAATAATGGATTTTTGGCCTCTTTTATCATTTACAGTACTTATCTGGCATAAAGTATAGGAATAGGCTAGATAAGTGATCATACATGATGTCAAATCCATACTCGTGCACCAAAAGTTGAAAAATTAAAGAGAAGTAGGGGAATGCCTAATAGCCATGAAACCATCAGTGTTTGTTTCTTCATTTTTTATAGGGAAAAGGGTAGTAGACCCTCGAACTAACTTAAAAAGTGCATCACCCCTTATATAGGAGGTTCTGTCCGGCCGTCGCCATTTGGGGCGGTTCCCGGTGGAATTTTTTGATGAAAATTTTTGAGCATCTTCTTCATTAAGTCTTGTTTAACCATACCAAATTTCAGATAAAAATTCAACCGGGAAGACAGTCAAATTATTTTCTGAAATGTACTGCGCTGTTTAACTGCACAGTTATCTTCAAAAATTCATTTGACTGCCTTCCCGATTGAATTTTTAGCTGAAATTTGGTATGAGTAAGCTAGACTTAAAGAAGAAGATGCTCAAAAAATTTCATCAAAAAATTCCACCGGGAACCACCCCAAATGGCGACGGCCGGACAGAGTCTCCTATATAAGGGGTGATTTGCACTTTTTAAGTTCGTTCGAGGGCCTATTTGACCCTTTTCCCTTTTTTATATGTTCAAAACCTATATCTGCTGAATAAACCAGTTGTATCTATGGTGTTGCATCTTTGCAGCTTGTGTGTGAAGGGGTACCTGGCTGCACGCCGCTACACGGATGAGATAATAAATACAGTGTTATTGATGATAGACAGTGGACTGCCTTGCTTCAGTAGGGGGGACCCGATAGGGAATCTTCGCAAGAGATTCCATCCTGAAATGAGTGAACGGGAAGCAGCCATCTTTATGATTAGGACGTGCACCGATGCATATAACAATTGGAGTACTGCTGGGTATGATTTGATACAGTATATTCAGCAGGGCATTGAGAAATGATTGATTTATTTACATATAGGATGATCAATCCTTATGATGAAGCCCCCTTTGGGGGTCTTCTTCCCTTGATGTAAATTTTGACCAATTGTAAGTCATCACAAACATATAGCTGTTTATATAATACGGAGTATATAATGTATCACGTAGGACCCCCCTTTCTTTCATTTTCCCTGTTTCTTTTTTTTTTATCCCAAAAATTTCAGTGTTTAGAGGTAGATTTACACTTTTCTGTATTCGTTGATGCTTGGGTTGTAGACATGTAACTTATACAGGAAATTATGAGTTGTGATTATGTAGTTCAATTTTTTTTTCACAGTTAGAGGGTGGTCAGTGGACAACTAAATTTATATGGGATAATTAATTGTACCTTGTAACTTACGAATCTTGTCGCAGATATATTTAGAGAGGTAGGGTTATACAGTTTTTTGTTCGTAGATGTTTGTGTTGTAGTCTTGTAGACATGATTTAGAGGAAATACGAGGTATGAAAATATTCATGGACAATCGAAACCTTGTAGAAGTTTTATAAATATAGGACAATCATGGGAAATATAAGTATGGGAGTATGGGACAGGAAATTCCGAAACCTTGTAGCAATACATGAAAATTTTATAATTTCACTATCTAGTACTTTTTGGACTTCCGGGGTCGTTTGACTATGGTATCAACTACTTCGTATCAAGCATCAACTACCAAATGTGTGATATGACACTATGTGTGATATTAAATTGGACTGGTTTCACTCCCAGGTCTAATATAAACAGATTAGATCGGAATATCGGATTAGATTGGGCAATATTAAAATAGACAAGACTTAAACAGAACAAATCGGAAAACATTAGTCCAGTTAAATGTATCCTTATTTTCTTGGTTAATTAATGTGTCAAGCTCGCATATGTGTTTTTGAACAATTAAAGACTCGCTTGGTGATTTTATGTTGCATGACATTTCAACGGAAAACATGATTTTGAAATTTCTGAAAGTGAAAATTAGATGCTGAGCATGTGGAGTATCAAATATGGCAAACTAAAAGGTCCAAAACATACAATGAATAAGTGTTGACACACAAACCGAAAATCAAATATATTAAAGTAGACACACCGAAAATCAAATATATTATACAAATACATATATAGGCGAATCATTCACATGTTAGGATCATATTGTAATTAAAGTAGACACACAAACAATATTAAATTATTAATCAATATGTAATATAAATATGTTTGAGTGTTAAAAAAATAAACACAATTACACAAGTATAATATCATTACACAATACACAATCTTCACTCATTTATCATTTTTCAAATCATTGAGCTCAGCAACATGAATGAAATAATTTCAAGGGCATTTCAAAGATTTTCTTCACAGATCATTTTAGAGAAAAGGTAAAAATGTAGTTTGTAAGTTCTATATAGCTGGCACACTAGGTATTTTAAGGAGATTTGAAGAAATAACCGCATATAATAATTTTTGTACAAATAGTAGGGAATAGAAAGAAAAACAGTAAAAAATAAAAATAAAAAGTAAGAAAGAGCAAGGGAAAGTTGAAATAAGCAGAAAAAAGTAATATGAAAAAGTAAGTAAACACTTTCAAATATGAAATAGTCATATAATCAAAAACTTCCTAAAAATGAATATGTGACAACGGTTAAACCCCAAGATTTCATCTTAAAACATCAACCTGATTAGAAGAGTATCCCGATATCTTTATATTTAATTCATTACTTCATATTTTACTGGTGTGAGAAAATACTTCAACATTCCTATTCGTCTTGATTGTGTCAGCATTCATTTTTATCGATTCATTTATCGTCAAATTTCAATAGTAATTTATGTCTAAAAATTTCAGCTAACAATTCAATTGGGAATGCATTCAAATAAATTCCAATTTATGAAATTCCAACTAATGATAATTGCGCACTTAAAAGCGCAGTTATTTTCAAAAAATTCCACCGAAAATTGCCCTAAATGACGACGGCCGAACAAGGTCTCATATATAAAAGCTTATTTGATCCGTTTTTGGTTAGCCCCTGAGCTTATCTGATCCGTTTTATTATTACACAATGCAACATGCAACGTAAACAAAACTCCCAAGTGTGTCACCTAACAAGCTTTTATGTATCATAAATTCATAATCGTGAAAACATCAAGAACTCAGGTTAGTGAGTGCTCTCTCCCGATTTGCTATGGACTTGTGGAGTATGGACAATTTTGGAAGGACCAAAAGATTGTATTCTGTATGATTAAGTAGATGGCTGTGTGGAATACCTGAATTATCATGAAAATGAGAAAAATCCAAATAGAAAAATGGTTGATCTCATCATCTAAAGCATTAAAGACGCTTCTTGATGCTCCGTACTTCTTTCAATCAGTTTGGCATCAGCTTTTGCTACGATTCACTATTAGAGAATGTGCTTCCTTTAAAGCAGACAAATTTCACCCCACACTCACTGCCTCTTTAATGGCTTCTCCTTTCCTGTCATTTTGAATGTAGCTCTAGGATCCAAGGTAAGCGGTTATTCTTCAGAGAATTTTTTTTTATTTATTCTCTCTTCTTCTTCTTCTCTTCTTGATTTGACGTATAACTATTTGCCTGAAACCTTTCTGTTTATGACTATTGTAATATGTGTACTACATTGCTTAATTTCATGGTTGCGCAAATTCTTAATCTGTTTTTGGTTTCTTGTAATTCCGATCCTCGCTTTCTTGAAGAATCCTCTAATTATTAAGATCCAACCTTGTTTGATTTTCTTACGGTTATATTATACCTTTCTGCATAAATAAGAAAACGAGAATATGCTGCGAACCACATTGCGTATGTTTTGTGCAATTATTTATTATTCTATTGAAATTCGAGCTCCTGCTTGAACAGAAGAGATGAGGTATTGTTCTATTCTTGTGATTGAGCTCATACATAGCTCCAGTTCTGCAATTCTCTTCCATCTTCTTCTTGAACTGGATAATTACCCCCATTTTTAAGCGTGAGCTTGGCTTGTTGCCCCCATTGAGCCTCCCAACTTCTAAATGGACATCTTGAGCAGGCTAGGTGCAAACTTGAGCCACATTAAACCCTTCTTTCATATGCAACCTCTGTTAGAAACTCATATTCGTTAGTACCTGAGAAAGTTGTAAGAAACTCATATAAAGCCCAAACAGATGGCACTTTTTTGTGAACATTGCTGAGGATTCTCATGGTGGGTAAGTTTAGATACAGATACATTAATAGAAGGGCTCAATGTAGTTTAAGTTGTCCCATGATGTGCTAAACATGTCCAAATGCTGCTCTTTAATGTAGCAAAAGCTTTGATTGGATGAAGGGCTTATGCGGGCTGCAGTAGAAAAAATCACGCAGTAGTTGTTTAGATTTTCATCCCTGCCCAATGCATTCTAGACTTTTTGTTCCAAAACTATGCTTGGAACATTGAAATCATGCTCTTTAATCTCAAATAAAAGTGTTCTGGTCATGATTTTATCTTATTCACCAAATGGGACTACTTGATTTAAGATGTGTTCCAGGTTCAGCATCCTCAAATCTTTTTCCTTACAATATCTAATTCAGAAAATAAGCCCTAATCAAACATTAGTCTGCTCGGTGTGCCAAACATTTCTTAAGTTTGGTTCTGACATGCTAAATATGTCTATTTAAAGGTTGATGGCTCAATAGGGGTCAACAAACCAATTTATGGGCTCAAATTGGATTTTCCTTTCATATGATTGATCTTTGTACATGGCCTTACCTTATGGATATCATATATGAAGACTTTTAAATGCTACACCATAACTTGAAGAGTTCTTTCTTTAACAATATTTATATTTTTCTTCATTGCAGGTTGGAACTGGGTGCTGAATTAGTCCTAGTTTCACACCTTGAGTATGACGTCCAAACTAAAGAATGGGTTGCGTTCCATTATACCCCTCCATTTGCAAGGTGAATCCGCCCCCAGTTTTTGTATGTTCTCTAGTGTCAAGTCTTCAGGATGTAGTCCAGGAAACGCACCAGTTTATATTAATGTTTATGACTTGACTCCCATTAATGGATACTTCTACTGGGCTGGAGTTGGCGTCTTTCATACTGGGATTGAAGGTCAGTAGATACTCTCTGATCTATGGATTGCATTATTAAATTGGGTTAGCTCTGAGGCTTTTTAATTAATAGTCTAGTCTAATAATAAATGGCATTAATTAATGAATCTAAGAAAGATAATTGCTAAGCTGCCGCAAATTTAAGTCATTATGACAAGTTAGAAGTTCTAACAGAATCTTCAAGCATCTTGTATGTTTGGATCCCAGAGTTCGTGGGAAATGAAAAAAATAAAAATTCTAAACTATTTTTGCATGGTTGGTTTTAGCTCGGAAAATGAAATAGAGAAATTTACCATACGTGTGACTAAAAAGGGACATTTTTCCTAATATATGACTAAGTGAAGTTTTATTCCTATTCTATCACCCGCACATGATCATCCATTAGTGTTTTAATGTTAAATCAAAACAAAACCGTATGCGCATACATTCAATAGTAGTCATATAACTGTAAATGTAGTTTTCTAGTCATATTATGAGAAACCACACATGTTTTAGTAATATTTCCATAATTCTCCCAATGAAATATGGATTATGTTTTATTTCCCCTCTCATTCTCTTTTCTTCCAAATTGTTAATGTACTTTACTTCCTATTTTGTTTCCCTTGCGATTTTTTAGTTCCAAGCATACTCTTTAAGAATCAGCGAAAAGTTTTGAGACAAAATAGGAAGGAATCAAAATAGGAAGGAATAGAGAGAGCATTCACTATCTAAAAAGGAATCATGATAACGAGTAATACATAGTTAGAATAGAATGTATTCGTTGTTGAAGAGTGTCCCACATTGACAGATTGACTCAATGTGAAACTTGAGTAAGTATTGGAAATCATCACCTCTTCTTGAGAGCTCTTATGAACTCGTTCTGTTGTTAGATTAAGTGGTTAATCATGAAGAATAGATCTCCATGCAATATTATAGACACTGGTTAATGCTTCAATTTATTTCTCAGACAGTGATGAGCAGTAGTTATTACTAATATTTTTGTATTTCAGTGTATGGTGTTGAATATGCGTTTGGGGCCCATGAATATCCAACAAGCGGTGTATTTGAGGTTGAACCAAGACAGTGCCCTGGCTTTAAGTTTAGGAGGTCAATTCGGATAGGAACCACTGTTTTGGACCCAATCCAAGTTAGAGAGTTCATGGAGCACCAATCTGCAAATTACCATGGTGATTCGTATCATCTCATCAGTAGGAACTGTAACCATTTCTGTCAGGATATATGCTACAAATTGACAGGGAACAACATTCCAAAATGGGTGAATCGGCTAGCCAGAATAGGTGCCATATTCTTATTCCCAACAAGTTTT